TTTTTAGGTTTTAGCTACTGCTCTACTATTTTTAGCTTGCCTTTTATTATTTTTACCTGTTTTAGCTTTTACCATTTAGGAACGTTTTGGTTTTAGCTACTATTAAGATACTTTTAGAATTAATTTCTGCTACTTTAGCTTCTAGGCATCTGCTATTGCTATTATTTTGTTAATCATGGATAGCCTTTTGCTACTTTAAGCTTATCGCTAATATGTTCCTTCCTAGCCTTAAGCTAATTTTAGCTATTAGCTACTTTCACAATATTTAGATGGTGCTATGCTACTTTTACCTTTTAGCATTTTGCTACTTTTTCAGGTAATCTTTTGTGACTTTAAGTTAGCCTTTTGCTACTTTTAGCTTATAGCTAATTTTTGGCTGCTTTAAACATCAATGTAAAATTTTCTGCTTTTATCTAGCCCTTTGCTCAATTTAATTAGACTTTTGTTTTTTTAACTTTTACTGTTTTACAACTTTTAGCTTTTGTTTTAGTTTTTACTTTTAGCCAGTGTTTTGCCTTTTTTAGCTTCTTTAGTAAACTTCTGCAGTCATTCAGCACTCAGCAGTCACTCAGATGAAATTCTCCTGTCAAACTGATGTGTTAAATATTTTTCAGAGCTCATTTTAATGACTTAARATGTTATATGTTTGCAAAATTGCACCTTCTTTTTTCCTTTTGAGTAATTTGCCATAAATAAAGTTAGTTTTCTGGTGGGGAAACATCACACTCTGTGGCTGAACGTTAAATTAATTAAGTGGCTAACAGGCTAATGAACTACTCTGTTCAATATGTTTACTAAAGCATCGTTCTGTCACAGATACTTCATTCACACTGTTGCAAAAYACTGAACAGGAAACCTGATCAAGCTATCCTTTTCTAATATAGTTATGCATGTCAATATCAATTTCCATGTTATTTTACAACCACTATAGAGGGACCAAAATCWTTCAGTATTTAACCATCACCAGTGAAATTTTTGTGAGCAAAAGATAAATCAGATCATGTCATTAATTTTTTTTGTCACCTGCAATTTATGTGACAATGATGTAAAGCTACAAAAATGTGAACATGGAAATACTATTGAGGTCGATTTAGATAGGAGCACGTCTTCTGGTTTGAAGGTGACATGGACAATAAATCTTTAGGATTCATTTGGAGGCAGAAAAGTTGCTTTGTTAGCAAAACCATATGCTGTGAAATCCCTTTGACATATTCAGGAAAAAAACTCTGTTATTGCCAAAATGTGTTCTTGTTGTGTGTGTTCTTTTAAGAAAAAAAAAATCTCAGGAACCGATCATTAGATTTTAACGAGGCTTTCAGGAAATACCCACTGAATGTTTGTCTGCAACTAGTTAGTTTTTGGAGTCGACCTGATTTAAGATAGCCACCACATCCAACTCACCCTATTAAACCCAAAACAACTTAGATTTACAGATATTGTGCTCAAAAGCTGCGTGGTCACGGCTGAGCATCATCCCRAACACATACTCTTAAAGCTGACAGATGACATCGTTTAAAATGTTGGAATTAACTCTGCCTTTCTGTTAGTAAAATATCTCCTTAATGACCAGAACWTAATCAACATAATTTACATTTGGAATCAACCCAATTTAGTATGGCCGCTCAGTAAAATTTAGCATGGCTGAGACTAATCCCCAATGCAAACTTCAAGCACCAAGACTGTGAGATATTTCTCTAAAAATATAGGTGAAATGCATTAAATAAGGAGTTCAGCAGCTTAATTGCTGTCAGTTCTCTATACATAGTAACTTTAATAAAATAATTAACTTTTATTGTTTCTTGTTGTAGGGGTGGATGTGGCGGAGTGGTTAGGGGAGTTGTCCTGGAACCGGAAGGTCGCCGGTTCGATCCCTCGTCCAGCCGTTTCAGTCGTTGTGTCCTTGGGCAAGACACTTCACCCACCTTGCCTACTGATGGTGGTCAGAGGGTCCGGTGGTRCCGGTGCATGGCAGCCCCACCTCTGTCAGTGTGCCCCAGGGCAGCTGTGGCTACAGTGTAGCTTACCATCATCAGTGTGTGAATGTGAGTGTGAATGGGTGAATGTCTGTTGGTGTAAAGTGCTTTGGGGGTCCGGAGGGACTTGAAAAGGCGCTCTATAAGTTCAGTACCATTTACCATTTCTTTGTTTCTTTGGTTTTAACAAGTCATCCATGAGCAAATTTATTTTAGTTTCAACCAAAATCACTCCAGTTGGAAAGGAAGCTGAACATGAGCTTTATTTCTTTCATTTTTTGATGGGACAGATGTGGATAAAATCCTGAAGCCTTAAAAGGAAAACATGCAGATTATTCACCAATTCAGACAGAAAATATGTTCCGAACTCAGTAAAAATATATCACCTCGAACGTTTTTGAGCTATTTTAGCAGCAGTTTATCCATCCCAGTTCCTGCACTGTTTTATTTATTTATTTATTTATTTATTTATTTATTTATTTATTTATTTATTTATTTATTTATTTATTTATTTATTTATTCTGACCACTAAAACAATTAAAGTCCTATTTGGCCCACTTGATCCCGGGTTGCAGACCTATTAGAATGCTTGCCATAATCATGTTTCACTACCCGCTCTATCTCTACACCTACAGCATCGACAGGCACACAATTCAGCACCAATTCCCCGCTAATAAAAATCTCTGGGACAACATCTTTTATCGATTGGGTTCTGGTGGCTCGAGGGTTTGGAGGTGGGAGGAGGAGGAGGGGTGTGAGCCTTATGTATATATACAGCAAGCTCCAAATGCCCTTGTAATTCGGCTGGTTGTGGATTAAAATCAAAACATGATTTTTTTCTTTTCTTTTCCAAACCCAGTCCCCCTCCTCCTCCTCCCCCTCCTCCTCCTCCTCCTTCAGCCAAAAACATGGAGCAGAAATGGATGATAATGGTGGAGAGAAATCTACCTGCAGGAGGATCACCGATTGAATAAATGAATCCAGAGAAGAAGAAGCCACAGCCCCACGGAGCGTCGACACACTGCTGCTGCTGCTGCAGCTGCTGCTGCTGCGTGGAGTGTGCGCGCGCGCTGCCTCGCGGTGTGACTGCCTGTTTAAATAGGACGGAACTGAATGTCGAGACGAGATTTGAGCCGCCGTGGAATAACAATGAGCTTCAGGGTGAAGCAGTCGTGTCAGGCGTTTTGAACAGACAGAGGGATTCGCTCTAATAATAAAAATAATAATTAAAAATGACAGACTCATTAACTCACCTGCTTCTGCACGAGCTGCTGGAAGGTGCTCCACGCCGAGGTTTTCTCCTCCACGCACCATGCCCAATACTCCTGCTCTGTTAAAGGGGGGAGGCAGCAGGGTCTGGGATGAAACGCGCGCGGGTCTCCTCCTCCTCCTCCTCCTTCTTCTCTCCGTATCCTCCTCGCTCGGTCTGCGAGAGTCTCTCTCCTCCGTCCGTGTTTTTTTTTTTTTGCGCATTCACGACGCCAAGGTCAGGAGCGCCAACGGTTTTAATGGAGCGCCCACCATCCAGAGATCTCTCCACGGCGCCCACTGCAAGCGCGTTGCTAGGCAACCGCCGGGATGCGCCAGCGCATTAAATCCACCAAATCATCCCCCCCCCTCCAATTAAAAATATAAAATAAAAATAAAATCCCCACTGGTTTGTGATTTAGAGACCATCAGCTGACCACCTTAACTTCGGATAAGAGCTTTAGACCCACCTGGAAGAGGAGAGGAGAGTGGATGGATAACACGGGCTGCCATGGGTGATAAAACAAACAATGACATTAACACAACAAAAAAAATGACTGCCCTAAACAATAAGTTTTGCAATAAATTTGACAAGTTTCATTAAAAAGAAAGCATTGACCTCGGGCCCGCCCCAGAACCGCCCCTGGCCATTTTTGACATAGTACCTTTAATGTTACCCTAAGTTGCTGTCTTTATTGCAACTAACTGGCTGGTTGTCAGAGACTGCTTTCACTATAGGCTGATTCTTGAAGACCTCTAGATGTTCTGCAACAATTCTGAGCAACTTCTAAAGTAGGATTTCAAAAATAATGGCACTCCCAATACTGACATTTTACAATTATGTTTCCCTCAAGTTGTTGTCTTTATTGCAGATAAACCACAAGTTGTCAAAGACTGCTTTCACTTCAGACTGACTCTAGAAGTCCTTCAGATGTTCCTCAACGATTATGAGCAATATCTGATGTATCATGTCAAAATAAAAGCACTCCAAATACAGATATTTTAAAATTATGTTTCCCCTAAGTTGTTGTCTTTATTGCAGCTAAACGGCTAGTTGTCAAAGACTGCTTTCACTTCAGACTGACTCCAGAATTCCTCCAGATGTTTCTCAACAATTATGAGCAACTTCTAATGTAGGATTTCAAAAATAATGGCACTCCAAATACTGATATTTTACAATTATGTTTCCCCTAAGTTGCTGTCTTTATCGCAGATAAACGGCTAGATGTCAGAGACTGCTCTCACTTCAGGCTGACTCTAGAAGACCTCCAGATATTCCTCAACATTTCTGAGCAATATCTGATGTAGCATTTCAAAATAAAAGCACTCCCATTATCAGTGGCGGATCTAGGATTTTTCAGTGTACGGGTCCATCCATGGGCCACAGCATTCATAGAGGGGCCAAGTATTTGTTCAACATGCTTGCACACAAATCCCCAGTTTTTGTGATGAATGAATTTAATCAGTCACACATGTTCAGAGACACTTGTGAAAGCTCAAACTGTAAATTTTCCTTATCAATTTTACATGCATTTTTACTGTTCATGAATAAAATTCTCTCAAACACACAACATGTGAGAAAATCCAGCCATTGTTGTCAGTTAAAAATACTTTTTCTGCAGGATTATTCAAATTGAAAAAGACTTATCTTCATGCTGGACTTTCCTATTTGACTCATTAGCGCCACCACTGTTTGGAAGTGGAACTGCAACTACTCTTGGGCAAAAGACAGATGAGTGACAGGACAGGGGCACTTCAGGGGGCCAATAAGATTTCAGATGGTGCCCCTGTGGCCCCGCCCCTAGAACCGCCCCTGGGAGGAGAGAGGATGGATAACATGGGCTGCAATGGGTAAAAAAACAAACAAACGTGAAATCAACCTTTTTTAAGCCTTATATCATATAAAAAACATACCCAAAATGTTGCTTTGACTCATTCATGCATGTTTGAGAAATCCTTGAATCTCTTGAATCTCCCGTGGCAGTCATGTGGAGCTGCCTAAACACTTGCTGGTACGAAGCTCCACCTATTGACACATAGYTCCTCCCTGGAGCTCAGTCAGTAGCTGTTCTCCSACCCCACAGAGCACCCCTCCCCCATAGCGTTGTTTGAATGTGCTGAAGTGGGAGAGTCAGAAACGGTAGGAGGTTCTGAATGAAACAGAGGGCAATTTCAAGGCATTTAGACAGGTTAGTAGTCAGTTTTTTTGAYATACTTGCAGCATTTTCATAACAACTAAAGGTAACAATAAGGTAGYGTAAGAATTTTGATTTCCGATACTTCAGTGCTAACGTAAGAGACCACCTCAAAGGTTGTGACCCTGGTGCTCCATTTGTATTATGGTTTGCTGAGGATGAAATGACCTCTTTAGATCTGGGAATAAACATTTTAACTGAGAAATGGATTGGGTAATCTKCAMATTATTCAGGCTTCCAATYTTTGAACAAATTKACACTAACACTATRAATATGCTTTTTGATCTTGTWCTGGTAGCRTTTCTGTTGCCACAGTTGAGAGTAAAGTATGTTGTTATGTACTAACAWGAGCAGAAGCCCTAATTAACTGTTGGGTACCTATAAAATAATTAAGTATTTTGATTATCTTGTGGCTTGCTCAGTTCATCTAGTGCAGGTAAGAAGAAWATAATTCAGAGTTAACTGGAAGGTGAAACAACAGTGAAAGCATGGATTACATTATATTGGTAGATGCATCAAAATTGTGTCAAAAATAAAGTTGTTACAAGTTACAAAATCATGTTTTTACAAATAAAATACTTAAAATGGCACTTTCTATTATAGACACTCCATAATTTCACCTCATCCAGTGTTTTCTTTGTTAGAACTTGCAAAAAGCACCAGAAAAACAGAAGAAGAAAAAACTTGGTGACATTTGTCAAATTTAACAGCAATGCAGGTTTGTTTTTACAGCTAAACCCTGCCCACAATCCACGGCGGAGAAGTGAAAGTTTTCTTTTATAACACACACAGCAATTGTACAGTTCTGGGGGGAAAAGGAGGTTAATTTCTCAAMAGTATTCCCAACATGAGCTTAGACAAACCGTCACATTAACCGTCTGCACCAGCTCTTCTAACATACAGTAAACTGTGGGCGCACACAGCTGCTGACAAAGCAGACATTTTCCCCATGTATTCTATTTTTTCTCTTTTTAATAATGCCCAGTGGCCATAGCTGTGATGCATAACTGAGTGGTGATTTTTACAGTTCTGGGGAGAAATGCTGCCCAACAGCTTTACTTTCAAGCTCGGTTACCAAAGAAAGCTTTTCACAGAATCCAAAATAGGTTACAGYTTTACTTTTTATTTCTTTGTCAATATATTCAGAGGCTTAAGCTCTATTTGAACCAAACAATAGATTTATGAGACAACTGCAGTAGTCCACTTTATTTGATCAGATTTTCTTTAATGTGTGTACTGGGCTTGTTAGTACCCTTGTCACATATAAAGAGTCCAAGTTCATTTGCATTCAGAGACATTTTAATTAAATACGTACGTTCCAGTCCAGATATTTGCAGTCATGGACACTTTCGGAAAACCTCTGTGTGGGCTGAATCAGCTTGATTGGGGATAAAGCAAAAGCAGCATCCGTGACTTGGGGTTTGCTAAGACATCCGGGGTTCTTCAGAAAGACCAGAAAAACAGGTTTGAACTGGTCAGGTCAATGCATCACAAAAATACATGTTTGTTTCACTCTATCAATTTAAAAACCCACATAGACAGGTGTGGGCCAGCGCTGGYGCTGCTGGCTGACTACTGGCATGGCAAGTGGTTTGTCAGTCAGATGTGGGCCAGGTCTGGTAATAGTAGTACTGTTTTTAAGATGGCAAGATGGCCCAGATGTGGTTCAGTTTATATGGTTGAAATCTGTCAACGCCACAACTGGCCCTGTTATAGTTTAATTTATGTGGTGCAGGCACATGCATGGACCACCTCTGGCAAACCACATTTGCGATAAYTGAAGTGCTGTCATTCTCTAAGCTAAGTGTGCGCCAGAACTGGGCTGGACACATTTTGCCATGTGGGAGGAGCCTGATAAGAAAGTTTGGACACCTGGTAAAAAGGATAGGTTTTATTTATTTATTTATTTATTTATTTATTTATTTATTTATTTATTTATTTATTTATTCACTTTTATGAAGTGGCTTCTTGTAGAAAAGTTACGAACAAATAATATTTTACCTACTGTAGATAGCTCTTTGAACCTGTATTTGTAGTGTAAAATAACTTAAGTCAAAAAGGATGCAACATCAATACAAGAGCTTAGAATTAGCATGTTGAATACATACTGCATTCTTTCAGTAACTATACAGTAGTATTTTATTGTTAGAGTATACATGATCCACAGCCCTCCATACTTATCATGTATTAAGATAATTAAGGATCCATTAGCACTGCRTGTCCACCTTGAAGTTATACGTGATCAGCTCTGTCAATGACTCAATCTGAAATGTCTCTTTGTTCTTTGACTTCACCATAAATAGATTGAGTTTGATTAAACTTTAATGAACCTCAGGGGGGAAGTGGGTCAAGGCAGCAACAGAGAACAGGATACTAGAGAAAATGGCAGCTGATGTTGCCAAAGGAAAATAAAGCAAAGGATACATTCTTATCATATTCAATAGGCAGATAGGTTGGAATGTATGTAACCTGGTTATTTACACAAAACAAGAAATGTGAATGATTTATGGAATAAAAATACACATTTTGTGCAGAAAATGTTCAACACTGTATACAAGTAAAAGCCCAGAACTTAAGAAACCTTCCAACTTTACTTTTTAGTCATGTTGGGAAAAAAGACAGAGGGAAACAAAAAGTTGTGTGTGGGTCAGAAAGCAAAAGATGTTCAAGTAACCTACCRAACAATCAGTACAAAATAAACAATACCAGCAATAAATATTACCAGAAGCAAAAGTAGATTTAACACTTCAGCAAAAACATAGATGAAGATTAATGTTCAATTCATACACAGTAATAAGTGTTATAATTATGTTCAGATTTACACAAACACATTGAAAGATTCAAAAAGAAAGATGGGAATAGCAATCATGCAGAAATTTCAAATAAAAGCTAAATGAATCACTAACTGAATTTTTGGCATTAATATTAATGTGAATAGAAGCAGTACAGTGAGTTAAAGAAATAAAACCAATTTTCTCAGTTTCAAGTTCAGCTCTCAGCCTACTATAGCACAGCAATTCAGAAAGCAAACCAGACATTTGGTTAGAAATACAGCAAACATTATTTAAAATACAGATGATGGGTTTAGAAGTTATATTTCTATGGGTACCAGCACACACTTGGGTTGAGGGAAACGAAGCAGCAGCAAAAAGGCAACGACAGGACAAGTCAACTTACAGCGACCACAAACAAATCTGAAGGAAGAAGCATCATTAAACAAAACTAAAGGAAAAGTGGCAGGAGAAAACAAAGGAGGATGCMTTTAAAGATTCAAAGGAGAAGTAGAAGAAATAGAAGAGAAATAAATTGTTAAGAATATGGRATTTGGACACACGGGACTGTTTATCCAGAATACAACAACACAGACGGGGATTGTCAACATTGTGGAGCATTTTAATAGAGTATGAGAGAGAAAATCAAAAATCAAAAAAWTCATTAAATATCATGCTCAGGAGAGGGCTTCATCATGCTACAGGTGATATTTACAATCCCCTTGATATCAAAACATTTCCTTTAAAATATGTAATTTTTGAACAATACTGTTTTACACAGTGCCTATAATTTGGCCATGTATGTTGAGGCGATCAAATCCAGGCTTTCTGTTTAAATCTGACAAGTATTTTTGGTAACAGTACCCCTGAATTTACTCTATTGGGACAAGCTGTTAAACGCTMCACTCAAATACCTGCAAGACAACACTGAGGGAAAAGGAATACCACGAAGTATCTGGTTTACTTCCTGTTTTCCCGTGATGCACCGCGCTGTTTCGTGACAGCTTTTGATTGTTTACAATATAAATTTATCACCATTCAGCTTAAAAAAGGTGTTTAAATTAAGTATGGTTTGATTATGAACCGGAAATTGACTACTGTTAGAGAGAGTAAAGTTTGAAAGCTTCGTGATTTAGTTTTGTKTCCTGTATGTGAGTCGCGGGAAAAGAAAAAAGCTAAACGCGTCTCAGTTCCAGAGTTTATGTAAAGTTCCCGTTCATTTATATTGAACATGGAGAGACGTATATTTGGAAAAGAATGCCTCAAAGTTCCCACTGACTTCATTTCTCCGAGTAAGTTTCAAATTGCTCCATTTTTATTTGGTATGAGCCAAACTATGTTTTATTTTTAAACGGACATATTTATCTCCTTTTATGTTTTATGGAATATCTCTGTCTTATTTAGAAAATATCCAGGGGGAACTTGTGCCCCCGTCGCATTTTGCATCGACTGTCCCATCTGCTGGATCTCAAAGTCTAGGAATACCATCACCACCCTTGTCCTGGTTTAATCCCGTACCAACATCAGCAGATCCTCGCMCAGCCAATCCATGGCTGGCTATCTCTCAGGCACAACAGGAAATATTAGAGTTAAAGAAAGAAAATCAGAGGATCATGATGCTTCAAGGGAACATCTCGAGAGGAAAAACCTCTGCAGATCACCTCCCAGACCATACGATAAGGTATTTTTCACTAAATGTTTTCTTTATGAGAAGCTAAATGAATGTTGGCCAATGACGGTGTACCAAAACCTCATCTAAAATGCAGATCTGCAGACATGAGCGAGAGGTCCAGATGGGAGCCAGCAGAGAGGCACAAAGCTGAAGCTGACAGGCTGAGGGCTCAGGTGGAAGCCCTGAAGGAGAGTGCAGTGAGGARCAGGGAAGAAATGAGAGCCAAAGACATGGCCCTGAGCAGGTATCAGATTTACTCACATCATTATAAAGACACATCTTTGTATGGTTTGGGGTTGTGTAAAAGGTGACGATTGGTGCTTGATGTGTGTGTTGTGAATGATGCTCACCCGCTGCCACATCCAATTTTAGTTCAATATCTCTAAAACTGACTGAGCTCATTTTTATGTTTGCTCAGATCAAGTTAGCTCTGACGGCCATCTTAAAACAAGGTTAACTCCAAAAGTTAATCAGCTGTAAAGGTGGATCCAATGATTGCTTTCTCAGACTCTCATTATGCAAAAATCTACTTTTTTAGCCATTAAATGCATTTTGTTGTGTCTAGGAGTGCAGAAATGTCCTCTTCGTTTGGATTTAAAGAGACAGCATCAAAGCGAGTTGATCTGAGAYACACCTCAGAAAAAGGGTAAAAGAGGGGCTTGTGGAGTTACAGTAAGGAGGAACTCAGACCAAAGCCTTGAAGTTCCATTTTATATAGACCCGAACTGAATGATTTAAAATCAGATTCTTTTATTGTCATTCAACATAACATCAGAGATGCACTGTAGAATGAAATTACGATGCATATTAGCACACGACATAAACAGCTTAACAAACTATAAAGCAATGTAGAAATCAAAATACAAAAATTAAACAAAGTAAAATCATTTAGGCGTWTAAAAACACACACAAGAATATATATAGTAATAAAACAAAATAAAATAAAGTAGATATAGAGTGAGGTAGAATCTAGGTCAATGTCAAGGTAGAGGTGTTTCAAATAACAGATATGTTAAACACCTCTACCTCGACCTGGATTCTACCTCACTCTATTTCTACTTTATTTTGTTTTGTTTTATTTTTAAATGTGTAAAAGAAGGATTTGATATCAAATGTCTCCATTAAAGTCCATCCAGTGGTTCATGAGATACTTTTCTAACAAATTCAATTCAATTCAAAAGTACATGGGAAATTAAAACCAAACACAATTCACATAAAAACAGGCCAAAACATTATTGTTTCTATTTGCCCTTCATCGACGGGCAACACTGAGCTTAACTTGATCTAATTTTTGTGTCACAGAAGCAGCCACGAGCTAGAACTGACGCGTGAAGAGCTGTCAGATGCTAAAACTGAACTCAGCCAAGTCAGAGAGGAGCTCAGTCTCTGCAGCTTACAGGTAATAATGATGTTTACTGACAAAACATTTCATTTCCACACTCTCACAGATAAGAATCACCTGAGACTCRCTGTCGGCTTCTAACTTGTTTCTGCAGTTTTGCAAGCTTGCYGATAGCTTACAATTACATCTATTTTTTTAATTTTTTGCTCAATTAAGTTTCTGTTTTTACTGTTTTTGCCTCTTGTAGCTTAACAACTTGAAGAAAGAGTCTAATGAGGAAATAAAAAGGCTGAAGAGAGCTGTAGAGAGAAGTAAAGAGGAATCCAGGGAGCTCGCTCTTCAGGCTGAAATGAGCAGGTTGCAGGCTGAGGAGAACAAGCAGCAGGTCCTCACACTGCTGCAACAACTGGAGGAAATAAAGAAGAAACAGGACATGCAGGTAAACTGTATGTTGCAGAATCTCTGCGAGGACATTTAAGCTTTCATCAACTAAGATACACATTTTAATCTCTTCCCTTCATACAAAGACTATCAATGCATGTCTGTTGGTGTAAATTCTGCTGAGCTTTGACTTTCCTCAGCTGAAGGGAACATCACTTTGGGGATCAGTAAGTCATCGCGTCATTAAAGGTTTCCTTGTTTTCTCCTCTTTGCTGTCAGCTGCTGCAGTTAAACTCATCTCACCAAGCAGAGTTGGAGGCAGTAAAAAAAGTAACGGGTGAACTCCAGGACACGCTTCAGTCCCGGACTGCAGAAGTGCTGCAGCTGAAAAGCGCACTGAAGGAGGTGTCGGCTGAGAGAGACGGGCTGAAAGAGCATTTGAGGTGCCCGGTTTGGTTAAAAACTAAAGAGAGCTGATGCAATTTGTAGTCAGATATTTTTATTTATTTATTTATTTATTTATTTGATCGTTTTGCTTATTTTTCAGCCAAACGGAACAAGCTTTTGAGACGCAATCTGCCACGCTGCACAGCCTCCGAAACTACATCGGCCAGCTAGCCCCAGAGAAGGAAGAAAAGGAGCGTCTGAGTGAGGCTGTTGAGGTGAAAACAACAGAAACTCTACTGACTGAGTGAACCTGCTGGGATGTTTGTGCATCATTTTTGGGGCATTTGAATGATTTCTTACTGCGCTAACGGAAGAGCTGCTGTGCAAAAGACAAACAAGTTTTTTTTAGATTCTATTACATCCATCCTTACTGGCTGCCGCTGAAGGCGAACACAAAGCGTAATGTTTTTGAACCATTTGATGGATTTTAACAGAAAATAATAATTGGATGTACATCTACAACTGATTAACTTTTAGAGTCAACCCAATTCAAGATGGCTGCAACAATCAACTGAACTTATGAGTCCTATAAATAGCTATAATTCARCCAGTTTGACAGATATTGAGCTAAAGTTTGGTGTGGTAGTAACTGAAGTTCATCTCCTATATATACTCAGAGCGCTACATGTTCTGCAAGATCTGATGCATCTGTGGCTGCCATCTTGAAATAAACTCATAAAAATGGTGGGTGACATGCATTCCTTTAAGGAATATTAGACCTTTAAAGGACCTGTGACATTCATATCCTTCAAATAAAAAAAGTCAAAGAAAACTTCTTTTTATTTAAGAAACTTGATATAATACACATACACATAAATTGTTTGTTTTCTTTTGAACTTGGCTCAGCAAAAGTGAAACAGGAAGTGACACCAAAGGGGAACTCTATAAGCAAAGGAGCTTCCTGTTTTTTGTTTTTTTGAAAACAATATTATTTCCCAGCTCATCTTCATCTCTCTGATAGTGACTCAAAATAATCTAAAGAATCAGATTCTTCTCTGCAGTCTGTGTCGTCATATACATTTTAGTGAAGCTTTGTTTGCATGCAGAGACTTCCTGTTATTTCACATGCTAACTCTTGATCTCTTTTTTGTAATATCTTATTAATGTTATTTTTTGAAAAAAAAAATGCATTCATATTTATTACAAAAAATGATGGCAAAGGCACTTTAATTTGTTGTGTTTGGTTTATTTTGCAGAGGCTGAATAAAGAAAAATCTGCTCTTCAGACAACAACCGAGCTTTTGACAGTAAGGCTCAACTC